GTGTGTGACTGTCTGTCTGTAACTGAGTGTGTGACTGTCTGCCTGTAAATGTGTGTGTGGGGCTGCAGGGATTTTTGTAGAAGGGGGCGGGGGTTTTGTATTGGGACAGGAGTCTTTATAAGGGGGGATAAGCAGGGGATTTGTGGAAGGGGGTTGCGGGGGTTTTGTAGACGAGGCAGTACAGGATTTGTAGAAGGGACAGGACAGAGGTTTTTGTAGGAGGGGCAGGACAGGACAAGCAGGGTCTGACAGCGGTTTTGCAAAGTTTACAAATTGTAAAAAAAAAGAAAAAGAGAACCTTTAAATTTTTTTACAGGTTTTTTTTTTCTTTTGGGGGGAAGGGGTGTAAACACAGGATCCTTGGTGCAATGCTCTAGGTACGCCCCTGTATCTGTGTGTCAGGATATGTATCTGTACGTGGCGATGTGTGCCAGTGTGTGTATCTCTATGTGTGTCAGGGTATGTATCCTTAAGTATATGAGTGTATTGTATATATGTGTCTGTGTATCTGCATGTTTGCATGTTTGTCAGTTTACCAGTATAGGTATCTGTGTGTCAATGTGTGTCTCTCTGTGTATCTGCATGTGTGTCTGTGTATCTGCATGTGTGTCAGGGTGTGCATCTGTGTGACACACAGATACACACCCTGACACACATGCAGATACAAATACACATATATGCATACACTGACACACTAAGGATACATACCCTATGTTTCTTTGTATCTGCATGTGTGCCAGGGTGTGTATCTGTGTGTCAGGGTATGTATATGTATGTGTGTCAGAGTATGTATCCTTAAGTATGTCAGAGTATGTATATATGTGTCTGTGCATCTGCATGTGTATCAGTGTATGTATCGCTGTGCATCTGCATGTGTGTCTGTGTATCTGCATGTGTGTCAGAGTGTATATTTGTTTGTCACTGTGTCGGGGTGTGTATCTGTATGTGTGTCACAGTATGTATCTGTATCTATCTCTGTGCATCTGCATACTTGTTTGTGTATCTGCATGAGTGTCAGAGTGTGTATCTGTTTGTCAGTGTGTCTGTATGTGTGTCAAGGTGTGTATCTGCGTGTCAGGGTGTGTATCTGTGTGTCAGGGTGTGTATCTTTAAGTGTGTCAGTGTGTATCTATGTGTCTGTGTATTTGCTTGTGTGTCTTTGTATCTGCATGGGTGTCAGAGTGTGTATCTGTTTATCAGTGTGTCTGTGTGTCAGGGTATGTGTCTGTATGTGTGTCAGTGTATGTATATATGTGTCTGTGTATCTACATGTGTGTCAAGGTATGTATCTGTGTGTCAGTGTGTCTGTGTTTCAGGGTGTGTATCTTTATGTGTGTCAGGGTATGTATCTGTGTGTCAGGGTATGTATCTACATGTGTGTCAGTTTATATGTGTGTCTGTGTCTGTATCTGTATGTCTGTTTGTCAGTGTGGGTATCTGTGTCTGTATGTGTGCCAGAGTATGTATCTGTGTGTCATTGTGTGTATATGTATGTGTCAGTGTGTGTGTCTGTGTATCTGCATATGTGTCAGTGTATGTATCTGTGTTTCACTGTATCTGCATATGTGTCAGGGTATGTATCTTTGTGTCAGTGTGTGTATCTGTGGGTATGTATCTTTGTGTCTGTGTATTTGCATGTGTGTTAGTGTTTGTATCTGTATGTATGTTTTTGTGTGTCTGTGTATGCATGTCAGTGTTTTTATCTGTATGTTTGTGCATCATTGTGTCTGTACATTTGTACCTGTATGTATGTTGGTGTGTGTATCTGCATGTATGTCAGTGTTTGCATCTGTGTATCTGCAGGTGTGTGTGTGTTTGTATTTGTAACTATATATGTGTCCGTCTTTGTTTATGTGTGTCTGCATATGTGACAGTTTGTGTGTCTGGGGCAGGGGGAGTAGCAGGGGGAGCCTAGGGCAGATGAGAAACAGGGAGAGCTTGGGTCAGAGGATAAGCAGGGAGAGCCTACGGCAAAGAAAAGGGGAGAAAAAATGTATAAATTTGAAATAATTGCAACTAAATTAATTACAAACATTTTGCTAATGGTAGGGGTACGATTTATGGAAATATGCTGCCAAGGGGTACTCAGGTGAAAAAAGGTTGGGAACCACTGTTCTAGATGATATCACCATGAAAGAGCTTCCACACTACATGAGATGCCTAATGTCATCTATTCTTCTCCGTAACCTTGCTAAACAGCTTATTCAGGATGGAGTATTTTGAATCAATAAGTTTGTGAGAGCACCATCGTCAGCCAAATGTTCAACAACAAAAAAACATATCACTACAGGTAAACAAAGCAAGACCCCACTAGTCTTTGAAGCTAGCCATGTTACCTTTTGTCAGGATTTGCCTAGAGGAATCCTGCAGTAGAGATGATCCATAAGCAGACTTACGCAAAGTTAAGGGAAGCTGGCATAAAATATCGCTGGACAACTCCACGAGCATTATCGGTGATTAAAGATGGAACTGTCCTAACCATAGCGTCTTCCTAGGAGGCACCAGCCTTTCTTAAGGCCCTGGTACTTTCTGTGCCAAGTACTGGGCCTTAATTCACTGCATCAACACACTGGTATTTGCGTAGAGTGGTCCCCTTTCTTTAAAAACAGGAGACGGTCCTGGATCTGCATGCCTGATCTATGCCTTTTAAACGTTGTTGTTTTCCTATTATTTTTATGTCTGAAGCTTTATGTTACACAATTTTTCTTAATCAAGATTGTAATGGGGGATATACCCCACTATTGATGGTCAACTGGTGACTGTGGTTTTGGAGTTACAAATCATACACAATGCTAGTCACCTTAAAGTTTACCAATGCTTTTTATAATGTTGTAACCATCTCACCTCCCCATACCCACGCCACCCTCTTGGTTAGAGGTAACTCACTCTAGCTGAGCTCTTTTTAAAAAGCCTTCATGGGGAGCAGGGCCTGACCGCAGAGCTGTGAGTATGTTCATCTCAGCAGCTCCTGCTAAACTAGGCACTCAAAGCTGAATTTCGCTGCCACACCAGCATTTAATCGAGGTTACAAGGCCATGACACAAGGGCATCGAGGTGAACAGGCCGACACCTCTCCAGTGATAGATCAAGCCTTACTCAAGGTGTGGCCTACAAGCATGGCAGGCGCATGGGAGATGGCTGCTCCTCAGCGGAGACACCATGCCAGGTGTTTGGAGATGAGCCCTTGTCCCCCTCTGGACCGGTGGGGTCATCCCGTTCTACCACCACATGACTCCTTGGCAAAGCAATGAGCCAGTACAGGCTCCAAGGAGCCCCAAGCCCATTGTCCTTGCAGCCTCCAAAATGGCGAACGCCTACCACACCGCTGACCCACCCAACGCATGGCGAGAAACGGAGCTACAATTAAATAACATATTTACTGCCTTCTGGGAGAAACTCGAAGCCCGTATGACACCCTCAGTCGCTGTGAAGCTGCCTCACTCATCTTCACAGTACACCCCACAGGAGACCTGGCGGGGAAACGCAGCAACTCCCTCCCAACACACAACCATGAGGGGTCAGCACCTGCAGAGGTCCCTCTCAGGGCCAGGCCCAGGAAACCTCCAGGGGAGCACCAGTACAGGGAAACCAACTCCCGGTGCCCCAGGGTCGTCTGAGCAACAACTACACAGCCTTGACTCACCTCCGGGTCAAACACAAGCATTTCCCATATGGGATGCCACAAGCAGGCAAGGCCAATGGACACCTCGAGCAGCAAAGCAGAGATCATCACAGCAGCCAATCTGCCGGGTCTCTCCAGGAACTCCAAGGGTACGCCCGAGCCTACCGCACAGATATGCTGAGACTCTGCGGAGACCACGCAAAGAACGAACGTCGCGTCAAGGGGTGAAATAAATTTATTACCCTCCGCACGTGCAGGCTCAACTCTGCAGGACTGGGGAAGCGAGATAGGAGACCATCTGTCCAGCCCCTACACCGCCTTAGCCAGTCACCGTGAGACAGACTCTATATTCCCCACAAAGACCACGTCCACGCGGCATATGGTCCATCAGCACCTCAACCCATGGGCTACTGAGCTGGAGCGGACAATATACACAAGGAAGATGGACGCCCAGCCAGGGTATCGGCTGACTTTCTAACTTTGGGAGCTGGCTGCTGGCCAAGATAAGTCTCCGGACAGGGATTTTAACCTAGGCTACTGCTAACCAGCGGCACAAAAGCAACAACATTTTATAGGGTTTAACGCTGTTATTATGCTACTATATTTCTAAATCGTATAAATCTCTTAAACTTAACCTACATTTTAAGCTCAGACAGGTGTACCTAGCTTGTTCTCTCACTTCTGACTGTTACCACCCTGTCCAGACATCTATCCACAGTTTATCCCACTCAGGGAAAGTGTAAGCCTAACCAACTTTAACACACTTTGCTTTGTACTGTTTTAATTTCTATCGCCATACTGAGAGATACCTTCACTTTTTGAGCCTAATCTCATGCCATTTTTCTCATAGTACGTAACACTTACATAATCATTCTATCATCTACATGTCAGATATATCTTAGTTTTGATGCTCCTGCCTTGTTTTTCCCACCAACATGTATGCTCAACTATACGGCAGTAATCTATAGCAACGCAGTAATCCATCATTTATGTTCAGCCTGTTATTATCTAGTTTGTTTATGTTTTAAAAAGTGCACACACTCCAATGTTAAGCCTGTATGCATCTATATGAATGGCGCATGACAAAAGCCTGTAATCAAAAAACAAAAAATGTGCACATAGCTATACCACTGTTGAGCCTGTTTATATGCACCTGTACGCTGTTGTGGCGTTTGTCAATGTTTTTGTACTCACCTGCTCAACAAAAATAAAGAATTAAAAAAAAAAAGCCTTCATGGGGCAAATTTCAAATATGCCCTCAAACCAATTGCATATGCTGTGCCGCCTCTCAGTTGGGGAATACAGGATCCATGTTTGTGCGTAATATACACTCGTGATGTTGTATTTTTATAATTTCAGTTTGGGTTGATCAACGCTGCATAATTGTTTTAGATTATCTTTGCTAATGTAGCACTTTATGCAAATGTCCTTTAGATGTTACATTTTACCTGCAAAAATAGGATGCAAAACTGTCTTTGCAGCTTTGATAAATATCCTCCAGTTTGTGTTTATGAACACAGTGGCATTAAGTTAACAGCATTTCCATGGTTAAATTATGAAACATCGATGTTGTACAGTGCTAAAATAAAGTTTTGTTTTTTTAAGAGATGAACTAGGTGATGTAGTTCAGAATCTATGCTGGTTTGTCTTAACTTACAAGCATTGCTTCTTTGTTTTTCTTTTCCTTCCACTCATTGAAATAACTGTTACCTTCCTCGCTTAAAATTCTACAGACAGCATCATCTGTTGGGGAAAAAAAGCAAAAGAAATGTACTGCAAATAGGAACTTGAAATGTATTACGTCTGAGATGATAAAATTTGCAAAGCAGTTCTGAAAATTATGTTCCTAACAAATCCAGGTCTAAATGCTGTTGAGTAGAACTGTCATATATTGAGTGAATACAAAATGGAGTTTTAGGAAGCACGTGGTAACACCGAGCAGGGGTGCCACTGATTGGCTAGAGCAGTCGGCTGTAGGTAAGAAAGTGCCATGGGGTCTTGTCTTTATCTCTATGGTTTATCTTTTTATCTGTATGGTTCTGTC